GGTCAGGATCCAAGCCTAACTTTAGTCACTTCCTTCAAGAAATTAAGGACTACTGCACCAGTTTGGAAAACATTATCAACAAGAAAGCAATAAAGACCTATGGACTTTTTCAGAAATTCACAATTTTTTGATTAAGAAGAAATTATTTTTCTGGCATATGTTATGTAATTGGTTGTATAATGTTGTTTATAATGGTTTGTACAAATAAAAAAAAATTTCAAAAAAAAATAAAATAAAAAAAAAATAGACTCATATAGATATAAACACTAGATGTCGCGTTGAATACAGCCGTCTATGGGAGCGAATGCGTCAACAGAGCCGCCATCTTGAGACGGGGTAGAGCTCCTTTTAAATGAATGAACGTCTATCAGGGCCAAGGTGGCTTAGAGTATCAAAGAACTATAAATTCGCAAATTTGAGAAGCGATTTTTATTTTCTTGGTTCCTTATAAATGTCAGACATGTATTTACGACTGAGCCGCGAGTAAATTGATAGTGAAGCGGTTTTTGTTAACATAGCCTACTTTTATGTTCAAAATGTAATGCGCATATATGTATTTTTTCCATTCGAAATAAAAAATTACACCCCTACTACATGCAGAACAATGCAAATACAAACACCACAAAAAAGGGCAGCAACGTTAACTAAAAGACCCTGGCAATCTCCATGATAAGCCCCGTACGTAGCGTTACCACTCATACATTTACATTTATGCATTTAGCAGACGCTTTTATCCAAAGCAACGGGCATTTATATAGATTTGTAGAGAACTATAGACATCGAACTATACACAATACATTTTCCAGACAAGGAAGATACTTTTTTTTTTTTTTACACTTAATATGAAAGATGAACATCCATTTACCTGCTTATTTGGAAAAATAACTATAGACAGGGCAGGTCCGTATACACACAGGCAACTTGTATAGATATGTCAAGAACTATAGAGAATGAACTGCAATATATACAGGTTTCAGTACAGAAGCTGTGTCTTTCCTGTGGGGTGGGGGTAGCTGTAACCCACCAACAGCCTGCTTCTATAACTTTGGAAAAAGATCTACAGACAATGAACTAATATATACAGGTGTCAGTCCAGAAGCTAGTGATGTTAAGCTTGACACCGAAGCTCCGAGGCATGTGTCAAAAAAAACGATACAATGCGTTCTGAAGCAGAACACGTGACCATGGTGATCCGAAGCTTCGTTCTGCGCTCAACCACGTGACTGCTTCAGAAAAGTGAAAATGAGGCGCGAACCTCAGTGACCCCAATATACCACATATTGAAGACCCTTTGAGGTTCTGGGATATGCACCAGGCTGTGTATCCACACTTATACGAACTTGCAGTACAGTTTTTATGCACTCCAGCGTCCTCCGTTCCATGTGAGCGGGTATTCTCCAAAGTAGGAGAAATGGTGAATAAAAAACATAACCAACTTAGCCCCCGCACTGTTGAACAAATACTGTTCCTGAATAAAAATCTGTAGACTAATGGCCCTCTTCCGTTACACAAGCACCCCTTCCCAGTTAAGTCAATGGTTTCCCAGTCCACAAGAAGTCACATTCAATTTCACCAGGTCATTAATGTTCATGACGCACTACAGACCATTAGAATTTTTGCCAATTTATAAATATTCAGATTCACTGCACTCACTCAGAATTAAGTGTTATTTCTTTATTTGACCACTTGGTGTCACTAATGGCCACTAATTCGGAAGGCTTCGAGTACTGAACCATTTTTCGACACACTTGAATAGGAAGCTTCAGTGCTTTGAAAAGCTTTGTTTTGCCATCACTAGAAATAGCTTTTTCCACTTTTTATGCTGCCATCTGGTGGCCAAAATTGAGTACTGCCATTTAAAAACATTCAAATTTCCCCGTATTTGCTCTACTTACTTTGGCCCACGAGATGTCAGGAGGAAAAATTGTTTTCCTACGGTCACATTCATGCTTTTATTGCCGTTTCTATGGTAATGTAATATATTTGTTACGCTACGCAGCATCAGGATCAGAACCTGCAGACTGAGAAACAACTTTTTCTCAGAGGCCGTGAGACTGATAAACTCTGCGGCTCAGTAAAACAATCATTAACAGGGCGTCTCGTATTACTTGTCCGGGCTTCTGGCACTTCTGTTAATTCAGTGACCTGTCATCCGTGGCACAGCATTGCTGTAAATAATCAGTGTTACATGTCAGGCTGCATTGCTGCAATCGTTACCTTCAGTGCTGCATGTTATTACTGTAATTCTGCAGCCGCACGTCACAGCTTTTTTCACACCTGCGCTGCTCACTTTCAATTCACAGAGTCTCCGAATCTTATTATTAATCGTAGTGTTACTAATTAATTC